ACAGAGACGTATTTAATAAATTTCCGTTGAATGTATACAGAGTTGTATTTATTTTTTTGTTGTAAATTGAAAAGTATAGAATTAATTAATATCATTCGGCAGTTAATAAAACTACTGCTTAAAACTTTAATAGGTGAGTTTGTTAAAGTTAAAAGTAAAGGCTAATTTGTTTAAGATGCTGTAATATTGGTTTAGTACAAATGTCCCAACATATTTTATGGAGTAATATTTTTAATGTAAAACTTATTGCCAGCGATAAAAAACACTGCATTAGTAAACCATTAGAGATATCGCGGTATAAAAATAGTTTATATTTTTAAACGATTTTATTTAACTTTACCATACCTTTGTTTGTTGCAAATCTGGCAGCAGCTTTATTGATCACTTCTATTATCCCAATTTTTCCGAAATGTTGCACACGTATTGAGTTCCGGTGACACTTTTATAATATTTTTGAAGAAAAAAAATCAAATTAGCGGATCCAATATGGCGGATTTTTTAATATAAGAAGAGATTTGGTTGAAATTTAAAACTTTGGGTTCTTTATAAGGACGCTTGAGATACTTACCTTCAATTGGCCCGTTTTAAAACATCCTGTAAAGATAGGGTAGGTGTTCATTTAAGTTTCAAACGAAATAAATAAACAAGCTAACATCAGAATACTTATGTAGGTATTTATTCATGCCTCCATATAATTAGTTTGTTTTTATTGGCTGTTTTAAAATTAAGGTTTATCTTTTTTAATGTATAATACAATTTCATAAGCAGATATAATTTAGTTACATATTTTAGTGGAAAACTAGTACATGGATGTTTGAAATTAATTTGTTTGCATATTATATATATTTCTTTAATAAAATGTCTTGTCCCATATTCTTCGTAATATTTACTAAAAACAAGTTCTAATGAAGAAACAAAAGATACAAAATTGTCATGTGTCATCTGAAGATTGCCAAAAATATCTAAATTATTATTTTCACTCTTTATTATTTTCATAGGCACGTAAATGGCAAAACAACGATGTATCATCTAACTCACTGTGTGCCTTTGCATATTTGGTACATATATCACATGAATGTATACTCAAACATTTTTTTATTAAATATCCACAAACGTATCGTAAAACATTTTGCGTCCTGGCGAAACATAACTCAGGCTTTTGCACATTCTTGAGGCACAAACTGAACCAGTACTCTTTGAAGTTATTATAAATAATGTACCTAGCACAACAAATATTTAATAATTATTCCAGACTATTCGCTCCGTTCAGTTATAAAACAACACAAACTACAATATTCAATATTTACGAACGACGAACAGCTACTGCTCTCAGCAAAACGCAAAACATAAGTGAACTGCGAACGCCAGTGCGTTGACAGGTTCTACCGCTATTTTTAGGTTAGGCGATGTTTCCCGCGCAAACTCTAAGTTAGGCTTCTGGTTGATATCTATTCTTGTGGACTATATATTGACACCGGATATGTAAGATTTCGTCCCAGGTTGGGCCGTAGAAGGGTAACGACTGAACGATAGGATCGCTACTTGGCTCAATTTGCCAGAAGAAATCGGTCAGTTCCAATTCGAGAGCTACAATCTTAGTTTCAACGAACTTACCACCGAGTGATATCAAGCCGAACCATTTCAAGGCGACTTTCTAATGCTGGATTGCGACGTAGACGTCCACTGCGAGTCCCTCTATTAACTTTACACCATAGGCAAAGGAGGCTACAGTGGGCTAGAGAACACCAGAACTGGTTAAAAAAATCAGGATAGGTTTGATCAGTGATGACTATTGTCAGCGAGTGTGGATGGAGGCAGGGAGGCAGCATCGATTGAATACAGCCCTTGCTGTTGCTCCTTATCAAGGAGGAACTGATATGTTCTGGGGTGGCATCATTTACAATAGGCGAACAGAGCTCATTCACATTTCTGAGGTGATGAACGCCCATTTGTATGTGGAAACTGTAATCAGACCAATAATTTATCCACTGCGGGAAGAACTTGGCAATAATTTTATTCTCATGGATGATAACGCTCGTCCTCACAGAGCTAGGAGGGTCCAGGAAGCATTAAATGAAGGGGAAATAACTCGTCTGGACTGGCCTCCACACTCCCCCGACATGAATCTTGTTGAACATGTCTGGGACTACATCACCAGAGCTGTGTTTCGCAGAAATAACCCACCAAGAAATCGCCAGGAGTTGATCATTGCCGCTCAAGAGGAATGGCAGAACTTACCTCAAGAAACCATAAACAACCTGAGTGGGGATCAATGACCTCTAAATAAAGTAGACCCGGCATTTCATTCATAAAAAGAAAAACATCAGAATCAGACATTCGTTTCTTGTTCTATGCGAGTGGGAACAAGACGGGCTGATCGCAGTCATGAAGGATTCCCGAGAGAATGGCAACGCTGTTCAGAGATCTTGAGAATGTGTGCCAGTGGCGTAGTTACTTTGATTGTAATATATAATTTAATATTATATTTTCGCAAATATGATTTTTGGATACGATATATTGTTGTGCTAGATGGCTCTTCAAATTTTGAAAATGACTACTTCTATACTCCAATCACTTCTATACGAAAATAACTAATTGAAATTATGATATGCACATTTCCATAGTAGTGTCTATAAATTGCTCCAGTAGTAATATAATCCATCAAGCGTTCAATGAATACGAGCCGAAGACGACTTTTATAAAACATTTATGTGAATTAATGGTATTATTTTGATTGAAGCAACGGTGAAAAATGAGAATATTTTAAAACTGTCGTGACGAATTGCAATTTAATATTAGATATAAAAATATTACTATTTATAACAACAATAATAAAGATCTTTGTTAAACAAAAGAAAATTTCTAAAATATTTACTTATTTCTGAATCAGTTTCTTCGCGGATAATCGGGACCTTGTACCGAATAAATAATTAACTATTCAATAAAACATATCAAACAAAGACTCATTCATCTTTTAAACTATATATTTTTTTTTAGTCTTAATAAACAAAACAAAAAATACGTTCCTCTATTACAAAAATTATACTGTCAAAAATAACGGCGTCAAAAATGACAATCGGTGATAATTTTGGCAAGATGATATGTCATGACCCCTACTCTTGTTTATTTTTTAATGACACTTACTGGCAGTAGTACGTCTTATGGTTGTATTTGATTTTTAAATGGTGTAATATAAACTCGAAATTTTTTTTTTGGATATCGATTTGTGTTTCTGGAAACGTTCTATCCTTTTATAATTTTTCTATAATCAGTATTAGTTTTTAACAAGTTTTATGTCAATTTTTAATAAATCACATCTAGAAATAGACCTCGCCAAAATTATATTCGATTGTTATTCCCAGCAGTCTTTGATGCCGTTTTTTTTTTCGATCATACGGTATTTAGTATGTAATATCCATTATATAAATCTATTTTGATTTTACACTTAAAAAATCATCTTTAATAACTAAAAATCCTAATAACAATCAGTATGATCGAAAAAAAAGGCGTCCGGTGGCTTAGAAATGAACATTGATGACATTCCCCATATACGCCTTTTTTTTTCGATCATATATATCACTATTGAACATTTTTCGTAATTGTGACATCTTTAATTTTTTATATATTTTTTCAACAAATTATTATTCGCATTTGTATACTTGGTTTTGATAATATTTAAAGATTATGATCAAGATATTCAATAAAACCAAACGTGACGAAACTAACTTACATACATTCCAAAACTGGGTGATCTACTAATAATTCCAAAGATTTTTTCCTATTTTACCTTTCGGCACCGCGCTGATGTAACATAGCCTTACTCACCTTCGAAATCAAACTTCTAGGTTTAAATCGTCTCTATTTTTGCAAATTAAGCAAGTTCGCAGCATTGTCTTATTGTTTCTGAATAAAATCACTAAAAATACCACAAAACACTAAAATATCTGGAAATCACCTCATAAAACATTTCGAAAAACAACAACACATTGGCAACGCCGTAAAGCAATTTATGAACGAATTCGAACTGGATGTTTTGTTGGCTGCCTGAATTTAGGAATAAAGATTGATAAAGATAGTAAAATGCGTACGTATTTAGTATCAGCTGGCGTTGCGACGTTGTCGATTGTTTTATGTTAAATTTCTTAAAATCTAAAAATTATAATTACAGAAGATTTAAATAACGGCTAATGCTGATTGGGAGTAGTTCGTGATACTAGGGTACCTTTAATTATTATCGGTTTAAAATATTCTACGACGTAATCTATATTTGGAATTCCTGGTTTACAATGTGGATTAGCTATCCCCGTACGTATACGTAGGTAAGATTTCCTTTTAAATGCGGTCGAAGTGGAAATTTGGCATACATGCAATTTTCTAAGGCAATGATGGATTTCGCCAAAATGTAAGTCGCCGGGTCTAATTTATTTCGATGTTATTGGTGGGGATGCCCCGAGGACTTGATGCACTGAAACAAATCGAGGAGGTAAAATTTTATATTACTAATCTTAATTTTGTCAGAATTTATTATTTATTTATTTATTTTTCTATTTTTTGTCAAACATTTTTCTTTATGGAATTTGCATTTTTTGTATTTTGGCAAAATATATTATTAAACTTGGTGAAAGTTTTCCCTTTTTTTGTGTTATATTTTAACATAACTTTAGCATCTATTGATTTCCACGAAAAATTAGTTTGAAATGTAATTTTTTATTAAAATAGTAAGGGGGTGCAAGACTTTTGCCGATGTGTTTATTTTTATGATAAGTTTTTTACCGCACCATTTCTTTTAAACTGTTAATAGGCAGATAAAAAAAACAACACTCAATACCACTAGTAAATTTTTTGCAAGGTTTTTATTATTTATCGCGGTAGGCATTGGTAGTGAATCTGTTATGTAGCCCAAAAGATGAAGGAAAGAAATTGATCTCGAATATATTGAAGAGGACCTTAAAATCCTCCAGCCTTTACTTTTATCATACTTTTTTCAATTTTCTTTTCAGGCTGTACGGTTAGTAGGCGAACATATGAAAGGTAAGGTAACTCTACAGCCCTTAAAACTACCTAGAAAGAACATGAAGCTCAGCGAAATCAACGACATGCTCTTGCAGCGTAAGGAAGGATTAAAAATCAAACCTAGGGACTCGAACGCCGCTACGCACATTATCAGGAACGCACTGGGTGGTACGGAGTACGGTATAGATCATACGAAAATTTCACAGTTGCTTACGCTACCTGATGACGTAGTTCGAGTGTTCAGGGACGACATAACCGTTACTATAGTGTACTTCGATACGGAATTTTTGAGGCACTGTCCAGCGTAGTGATAGAAATATTTTTTTTTTAGAAAACAAGATAAAGAAATATATTTATTTCGTATTTTTTGTTATTTAAGTAGTTAGTATAATTTGAATTTGCCGTTTATAATATGCTGCCAAAAGTCAAATATAACTAGACAGAATCACAAACTAAAGGTTGAAGTAATTTATTTAAAATATGGCCAAAACTAAAATGTGTATTTTATATCTCTGATAATGAAGATATACAGATATGGTCATCGAAGAAGCGTGGTCTGGATTTTAACGTGTAAGACAGTGATGGCGAGACAGCTTAATGAAAAATTAAATGTATTAAAAAGAGAAAAATATTGAGTTGATTTTCTCCTATTCGGTATTGTCGGATTTTGCGTCAAAATTTCAAATCGCCTTAATAGGCGTTTACGAAAAACGTTAGATCTAGGGTTGGCATTAATTTCCACAATAGGTCTGTTCACTAAAAAAAATTGCACTAAAAGCGGTAAAAAATTAATGTTTTAGTATTATAGTACCAATTAAATAACTTTTTTTTCGAAAAAAATAAACTCCTTTGACAAGAGAGACTATTAAAGTTATGCGCTCCGTTCAAATTAAATAAACGCGCTCTCATTGGCCTGACGTCACATGCCTGCCGCACGCTGCTCCACTTGCGAAGACAAGATCGTGATTCAGTTTGACTGTGACACTCAGTGTACTTCAATACAAGGTATTGAAGTACAGTCGACATTTACAGCAGTTACATTATTATTTTTGTTGTTGAATACCGTAAAAGACGTTGTATTTGTTGCTAAATATGGAGGAGGGTTTCCAGAAAGGAGATTCACATAATCTACCACAAGTAGATGTCAATATGGTATTTGACTTTCTCGCGATGAATACTGATTATAAGCAAGTTGAATCGAGTGGTGTTAAAGCCTTTTTACAATATGTTAATAACAATAACGAAATAGGGAAAAAATACTTAGCACAAATAAATCTGCAAATGTTAGCAAGAGGTGTTGAAAAAGGAATATTTTGCGTAGCACACCCCAATTTTGAAACTACAAAGGCAAGGAAATTATTACTGTTATCAACGTTAAATATGATGAGGATTTTACAAAAGGAATTAATATTAATATTGACTCTGCCATACACTTTTGGAAAACCAACATTTTTAAATTACTGTATGCAGTTTTTACTGAATAAACATTTAAGATCTTAATAAAAATATCGTTTAGGAAACCATTGTTTTATTTAGAAACAGACATAGTATAATCTTAATGGGTTTTTGGAAGTTTATTATGGCACAGAAAATACTAACTATGTTATCTAGTTTTTGAACCATTGCTGAAGAAATAGTAAAGTGGGGTCCTAACATTTTAAAATGTCACAAGCGATTTATTATACGTTCAATATGTATTCGCACACTTGCAATTCGTTTTGTAAACAGAACGTCATCCTTGGTCATTTTTACATTACTTACAACACTTGGAGGTCTGATCAATGTACATTTTTTTTCCTTAGGGATGTTTCAATTTGTTTAAAACCTCGGTCTGCCATAATAACGCAATTTTGTGGAAGAACTTTTAAATATCCACAATCTTCAAAAATTGCAACATCGCTTGCGCGTCCTCCATACCCACAAGATATAAAGTTTATGAAACCATCGGGAGGGGGGTACATGATATCAAATACTTTATAGTGTTACACTTTTTATACTCGGACCAAGTCAGCGCCTGTTGAACAGAAGCGCTAGGTTTTTGAATTTCAATTTCCAAGCAGTCGGTGATAGACTGTACATTGTAAAAAGACATTCGAAATTGAATGGGAAGATTTGAATATATAAAATTTATATAAAAATTGCCGACTCTGAACTGTCTGGAACTTAAAGAGGTAAAAAGTAAAGTGCGTGTTGAAAAGTAGAGTAAAAAGCGACATCTTGGAACTGAATTGAATTAAAAAGTGTGATTAAGTGTTAAAACTATACCTAGTAGATCCTTTGTTTGCGTAAAATACAAACGTGTCTGAACAGAGGCTATATAATTTTACAACAAGGACTTTCCATCGATTAATAATAATTGAAGAGTCGTTTATGACTAAGCGTAAAACAGAATCGGTACAAATAATTCTGAATACAATGGCGTAACTTGTAGTACAGATAAAACTTGACTACAACTATATCTAACTAATCTAATTAAATCTAGACAGGGATACAAGAAAACGGCGCAACGGATCCGTCTGTTATGTCTCTGGTAAAGCGCTACGCGCGATTAGCGAGCATGTGACGTCACACCCATGGTAGCTCTCGTGGCAGCGTTTTCCCGCCTCGACGAAAGGATTCAAATTGAATTACGAATAACTCGAAAAGTATATGAGTATTTGTTTTCAAACTTTGTACGGTCTTCCAATATGCACAAATTTATAATTTGCAGTAGAAAACTAAATTTTGTTGACAGACCTATTAGTTACTCATTTTACTACAGCTGTAATAGATTCTTATTATGTCCCGGTCGTCTCTGAACTACGTTGTGTCGTTGGCGAAATTACAAAAACAAACAATCATAGTTGTTAGTTTAGTAACTAAAGTCAAAATTGACAGCTGTTTCAATTTAGTCCTAATTTTATTGGTTCTATGGCGTGTAGCCCGTGACACTTCATAGTTTTAGAACGAATCTGAATTTTCTTCCACTGTCTTCTACTTATTTGAGATCTAGTCGATCCGTTAATTTTAATGTTGCCTCTGTAGGAGTTCTTGGGAGATGGACTGCCAATTGTCTTTCCATCTTTTTGGAGGTCTTCCCGGCTGTCTCTTACCCATGGGTAGCTCTTCAAGAGCTATGCTTGGTAGCATGTTTTCTTCCATGTTTAACGGATGCGAGCCATTGTCTTTTCCTATGCCTACCCCATCTGCGTCCGGTATTCCACATTGTTGTCTGATATTTGTGTTTCTAATTCTGTCTCTCCTAGTCTTCCCCATTATGGTTCGTAGGTTCATTTCGGCAACTCTTAACATGCTTTTGGTTTTCTTTGTTTCCTCTCGGATTTCTATGCCATATGTCATTATTGATCTAATGCAGGTCTTATAAATTTTCATTTTGCTGTCTGTTCGCATGGAAGTGGTTTGTCCACACTATTTCTCTCAGACATCGTGACCGTTGCTCTGTTTATTTGGCTTCTCAGATCTTTCTCTGGATCGTGGTAGTACGACATATCTATTCCTAGATATCTAAATTATGATACTTGCGCAATAATTTTGTTTTCTACTACCAGTTTGCATCTTACCGGCTCTTTAGAGAAAGTTAAGCATTATTTTTTTTTCTGTAGAGATATTCATATTTAATTTTCGGCTTACTTGATAGAATTTATGAAGCTGTCTCTGCATCAGCCTGTGTCTCGCGATAATGGCTGCATCATCAGCGTAATACACCATGCTAACTCTGTTGTGTCCCATTCGATAACCGATATTCATCGAGGTCACCTTTTCTATGATGATGTCCATTAAAAGATAGAATAAGAAGGGGCTAAGGCTGTCTCCTTGTCTAATGCCTCCTGGTGTTGGTATGTCTCGCGTTAGATTATTCCCTGCTTTTACTTATGTTGTGTTATCGATATTGTGTTATTGATATAGAACTAAGCTTTACACCTTAAAATACGATTACTAGCACTATTTCTGCACCAATCTGAACAAACCAATGAATATTTATTTCTATGGTTGTTTGTAAAGAGTGGCTGCAGATATTTTATACCATGTTATCATGCAGCTGTCTAAGAGAAATGAGCATTATTTAGCTTAGATATATTATCTTCGTTTATTATTACGTAGGTTATTTCACGTACGAACCGGCAACCCTGTATACCGCTTTTTATTTTATCTCTCTGTCAACTGGTCGTATATATTTATCTCTGTTGTATGCATTAAAATACAGACCACGGAAATAAAATGACCGGGGCTAGTATATATCCATCGCAACTTCAGAACAATTCAAAAATAATTCGCTGATTTCGGATAACTATAGGAGCTGTGGTTTGTTCTGTAATAGTTTTCGAATGTTGGTAATAATAGATTTCCAATATTTATATAATTAATGTGGTAGTTCTAAATCGGTAGTCATAACCACAAATTAACTACAACAGATGCGAAAGAACACCGAATTACGCGTTCAGGTTTCTGTGACCTTCAGAAAGAGTTCATAGACAATCCGCATCAATGTATAGTTTGGGTTATTATTTGTTTGGGTGAAAATAATCTGCACCAATATGCTATCGAGGCATATAATCTCACAGTAATTTAATAGATTGCTCGTCATATTATATCAGTTCGTAGGAGATTAGGAAAAAAAAAGATATTTATAGTATAAAAAATTAATTTATTTAACAAAATTTAATTAAAGATGTGACAAAATAGTTACTTTTGTATTGGTTCTATCGGACTTTTTTCGACTATATAAATCTTTATTTTTTGTAAACTTTAATGCATAAAATATTTTCAATCTAATAAATAATTTAATGATGTAAATAAGAGGAAATTTCTCACATGGGTGGTCAAATTCTATAGTTTTCATTATATCAATCAGCCTCTGAATGTTTTCTTCAGTGCAAAATTCATCAAAATTTAATATAAATAATTTTTCCAGCCTGTAAATAAAATGAACAAATTTTTCCACTTTCATGATCAAAGGCTTTTAAATGGGTAAATAATTTCGAGTTATCCAGAGATTCGGATTCTTTTGCAAATTTTAGATAAATATCACATTGATGTATTTGAAGACCCTTTTAATTGATGTAGTCAAACATAATTAAAGACATTTTGAGTTGAAAACATTTCTTAGAGGCTGTTTGATATAATGAAAACTATAGAATTTGACCACCCATGTGAAATTTCCTCTTATTTACATCATTAAATGATTTATTAGATTGAAAATATTTGATGTATTAAAGTTTACAAATAAAGATTTATATAGTCGAAAAAAGTCCGATAGAACCAATAGAAAGGTAACTATTTTGTCACATTTTTAATTAAATTTTGTTAAATAAATTAATTTTTTATACTATAAATATTTTTTTTTCCTTATAAATAAACACATTTGCATCCCATTTTAAATAAGATAGACAAATTACCAAAACATAAATAACAGTTCAAAAGTTCAACAAAAATCCTACACGCGTTTTTAAAAAGAAACATATAACCACGCACTATGTCATTCCAGCAAGCGAATACGACACAGCATAGGTTTCCGGACTAAACGACTGGTGTATTTACACCACTCAATAGGCGTGTCGGGTTTGCCGAGCGGTTTCCGATGCAGTCACTTTCTTTCGCATCTGTTATAGGTAATTTGTGACTATGACTACCAAAATACTCCAAGAAAAATGAAAAGAATTATTTCAATAAAAAATTAAAATCTGTTGTGCTAGAGATCAAAGAAGATTACATTTCTGATTACTAAATATACAATACGAACAAAAAAGAGATGAACTGAAGTTGTCACAATTTCATGATTATCAAAATGTGATGCTTTTTTATTTTAGATTATCAAAGTCATTATTATTCAAATACCTTTTATCTTTAATCTTTTAAACTAAAAAAGTCGATACCAAAAATATTAACTTGATTTTTAACACTAATTTAAATTAAACATTATCAACCATCAGCCTATCAACTAGAAAACAATGATATGAAATACTTTATACAGGGTGGTCCGAACTGTATTCCGAAAACTTCGGCAGCGTATTCTACAGATAAAAATAAGTAAAAAAGTTTGTATAAACTTATGTCCTAAAATATTTCGTTTCGGAGATACAGTGTGTAGAAGTGTCATTTTTATTTCGATTTTTTCCTAATAGTTTTTGAACTAAATTCGGAGGATCTGGAGGTTTTTCAACGTGAGAAATTTGATTTCTATGTCAGTGTGACTCAAGAACAGTTAACCTAATAGGGCTGCTCATTCAGTCAAAAGTGTCCGCCAGGTGCATGCGAAAACTACTCGCTTTGTGACGTCATTGTAGCCCTTGTCATTGTTATTAGTCCTTATCCGGCAACCAATAATACACACACGTGCATTATTGGTTACCGAATGCAAAACGTTCATTATTTAGTTTATTTATTTAAACACCTTATATGTATGCAGTATAGAAAATTAACTGTATAAATCATATTAAATACTCGGATAATGCATTTTTAAGAACAGCAGTTCCCAGCATCACCTTTTGTATGCATTCTTTTTAGAGTACTTCCATATTTTGCTTTAAAATAATTAATAAACAAAATCGTGGGCACTTAGTATGCACTTTGTCACAATCCACTACACAAAATGAACGTATTTATACACTCTATAGCTCTAAAAACTTTAAAGACACCTTTTTCACATTTAAAATTGACAAAATAATTAACTCAAAATTTCTCAGCTGTTATATTTATAAGTTTACCATAGGCAACTAATAATACACACTATTATGACAAGGCCACGAAGGCTTTGACAAGGGCTACAATGACGTCACAACTGTCAGCTGAAGCGCGGGAAGAGGCGAACGTACGTCTTATGAGGATGAGCAATCCTAGTTAGTTTACCGTTCTTGAGTGTGGCTCCCACTTATAGAGGCGCCACCTACATATTTTTTAACTGTTTTGAAGAGTAATAACTTTTCGTCCGTCCCTGTATTACACTACTGAGTAAAAAATATATGCTTGTGCCTTTTTTTAAAGAATCGCTTTTTTTAAAGAGCTACCATTCTGGAGATATTTGGATTCTTAATAATCAATACATGTCATCAACGGCAAAAATTAAAGATTTTCACTAGAAAGATATTTGACTGAACTAATCATTGTTAATAGTTCTTCTCGTCATTTTTATGTAAGAGATATCTTGATAAAAATTACAACAAATAACTATTATAGAGATGTTCGGATTTAAAATAATCAATGCATGTCAATTTTCTAATTGGCAAAAATTTTAGGAAATTTATGGTAACATGGTTTCGGTAGAACCTTTGGCATCAACTCAAATTTCGAGAAAATTACACAGATATTATTTAGATTTTAAAACACTTCTGTTCTGAACCTTTGGTATCAGAACGTTTCGAAAATTATTAATTTACTGAAATATCTATCTAGTGAACATGTTTAATTTTTGTCATTGATGGCATGTATTGATTATTAAGAATCTAAATATCTTGAGAACGATTGCTCGCAGCGATTTTTACCTAGAGATATTTTTTACGTAAAATAAGACGTAAATATATACAGGGTGTCCCTGAAATAAGTACAAGTAATTTAAGGGGTGGTAGATCTCGATAAAAGAAACATATTTTCTCTTTATCGTTTTTCAAATAAGTCCATAATAAGGGAGTTATTTTACTTTGAAAATTTCAAAAAAAGTTATTTTTTGCTAAATTTTTGAAAACCACTGGATATTTTCTGGATTTTATTTCTTGTAAATTTAATCTAATACCTGTTACCATATTATCAAGAAATTATATTTTTTAATTAAAAACTAAAAAAATTTTTAAAAAAATTTTCAAAAAATTTTGAATTTTATTTTTTTTTTCGTGAAAAAAAAACTCATAGGCGTGTTTATGGGGTTGGACTATACTACCCGTTAAAATACTTGCACTTATTTCTTGGACACACTGTATATTTCTACTCAGTAATGTAATACAGGTGTTTGGTGACGAACTTCACCGGTATTTTCTCTTGTTGACTAATGATACTGAATAAAACTAACTTTCTAAATATGGACTGTATTTACTAATTGAGGAACTTGTACATTCAACATGGACGCTTAGCTCGGCGGCTGGTGTCGATTCGTATCTCGTAGGAATATAGTGCGCGCGTCAACTGTTCCAACGTTGCCACTGTTGCCACGTATTTTTAAATCCGACCATAACCGCCGGCCTTGAAAGATTAACTTTCAAAACATAAACTACTACAACTAATGGTTTTACAAACAACATATCAATTAACACTAGATATGTAAACATCTTAAATATTGTATAAAAAATATATATAGCTAAATTGAGGCTAACAATGATAAGATAATTAATTAAGCCTCTGTTGGTTCGCACTAAGCCTATGAGATGGTTTTAGAAGGGTCGACCTCGATTGGAAGAGCGCATAACTTTTGTACCGACCTCTTTATCACTGCGGTACTAGTACGCACACTAACAACTCGCACTAATCCATCCTGTCCTGGGTGAAGCTCGACGATCCGTCCAAGCTTCCAATTCAGCGGTGCGGCGTTTTCTTCCCTCAGAATGACCATAGTGCCCACTTCCAAGTTCTGACAGGACTTCTTCCACTTCATACGTTGCTGTAGAACCGCCAGATACTCTGATGACCACCTCGACCAAAACTGCTGGTACATCTTTTGAATCAAATGGTATTGATCTAGACGATTTGACAACTCTTCTTTCACACATCGTTGTGGGAGTGCGTTTAATGCGTCTCCGATGAGGAAATGACCAGGCGTAAGAGCAAGGAAGTCATTTGGATTAGAGGATAGAGGGGTTAGGGGTCGGGAATTTAGAACCGCCTCTATCTGTGTAAGCACGGTGCTCATGTCTTCAAAAGTTAAAATTGTATTACCTATAACCCGCGCTATATGATGTTTTGCTGATTTAATAGCGGATTCCCAGAGACCTCCGTGATGAGGTGATCGAGGAGGAATATACCGCCAGTCAATGTGGGATTGCTGACAAAATTTATAAAATTCTTTATCTTGTCCCACGGATTTTAAAAAGTTTTCTACTTTTTTCAGCTCGTTATTCGCCCCAACAAAATTAGTTGCATTGTCGGAATACATTCGAGTACATATACCTCGTCTTGACACAAACCTTTTTAGACAATTTAAAAATGAACTACTGCTTAAATCGCCTGCGAGCTCTATATGCACTGCCTTGGTCGACAAGCATACGAATAAGCACATATAACTCTTTATAATAGCGCGATTTCGTAGTTTACCGTCTTTTAGATTGAACGGACCTGCAAAATCGACGCCTGAAACTAGAAAAGGTCTACTAGACCTTACTCGGTCTTCTGGCAGATCAGCCATTTTTTGCTTAATACTGCCAGGCTTGACTCGAAAGCAGGTTACGCATCTCGCTAACATACTTCGAACCACACGTCTTCCGTTTATCGGCCAGTAACGCTGTCGTAAAGAGGCTAAAATTAGTTGTGGCCCTGCGTGTAATTGTTTGTGATGCTGATCTAATACTATCAGTCTAGTCAATGGATGTCTTTGAGGTAAAAGTATGGGAAATTTGACATCGTACGTTTCATTGGAATTGCGAAGTCTCCCACCCACGCGCAAAATACCCGCTGCATCGATAAAGGGATCAAGTGACCTAAGAGTACTTTGTTTTGGTAAATCGTTAGATCTATGTATAGCTAGTATTTCGTCTTTGAACTCTTGGGCTTGCATAACCTTTATCAAAGCTAACAATGCTTCGTCAAATTCTGTATTTGATATGTCACCAAAATTCCTGTTACCTACCGTACACCTGGAGTTTTTACTAAATCTAAAGCATAATGCTACAATCCGAACTAATTTATATAATGAAGAATACCGTGTAAAAATTTCAGAATCGATAAGTACGCTGGTAAAAGTAAACTTAACATTTCGTTGTTCAGGAATAGAACTTGTATACATATTATGCTCAGTTTTTGGCCATTTGTCTAGATTATCTCTAAGCCATGGAGGTCCTAACCACCACAAATCTAAGTTTTTAAGCAATATAGGTTGTGTGCCTCTCGATATGATGTCAGCTGGATTGTCGGCAGATTCAACGTGTTTCCAATAATAACCTGTAGTGAGTTCTTGTATCTCTGCGACTCTATTAGCCACGAAAACCTTCCACCTACTTGGCTGTTCCGCAATCCACCCCAGCACAATTGTAGAGTCTGTCCACAAATATATATCATCAGGACTTATATCTAACGCAGCAATAACCTTTTTTGTTAAACGAGCTAATATCACAGCTCCGCATAGTTCCAAACGCGGTAAACTAATCTGCTTTATCGGAGCTACACGAGACTTGGCACAAATCAGACGTACTAGAATGTTACCAGCTGCATTAATGGAACGAAGATACAAACAGGCACCATAAGCTTGCTCACTGGCATCAGAAAACCCATGAATCTCAAATCTAACAGCATCTAATATTGCAATTTGCCTGGGAATCCTGATTTCATTAAGACATGCAAATTGCTTATAAAATTCATTCCATGTTGTAGCCAAATCTATCGGAATTGTTTCGTCCCAAGCTAATTTCAACTGCCAAAGTCTTTGTAGCAAAATCTTTGTTCTTATGATGACAGGACTCAGTAAGCCTAACGGATCAAATATTTGTGATGTTATCGACAATATCACACGCTTTGTTACATCAGCATAATTCCTAAATCGTTTCTCCACTACATATTGCAACGCATCAGAATTTGCTCTCCAAAATATTCCCAATGTTTTATTGCATTCATTGTCTGCTATAATATACCCCATATTATCTGCTTTTTCAAAGAAGATAATAATATATTTTCAGGAAGACCATCCAGTACTTCTCTATAGTTGGAAGACCATTTTCGTAATGGAAACCCGTATTTACTAAGTTCTTCATAAATGCATTTTGCTATCTCTATAGCCTTTTCAACTGACTCTACACTTAAGATTAAGTCATCTACATAAAACTGTTTTCTTATTATCTTGCTTATCTCTGGTAATCTATCTTCAATATCTAAGGCAATCTGCACGAGGCATCTAGTCGCTAAAAAGGCCGCAGGTGCAGTACCATACGTTAATGTATTTAGTCTATAATGTTCAAGCTCTGAATCAGAATCCGCGCGCCACAATATTCTTTGTAAGTCACGCTGCTGAACATCAACATTCACCTGTCGGTACATTTTTTTGTAATATCTGCTGTCAATACTACACTATGTTGTCGAAATCTAATCAAGATATCAAACAGATCATCTTGAATACATGGCCCAACCATCAATACATCATTTAATGAAAAATTGCTAGAGGTTTTTGAACTAGCATCAAACACCACACGTAGCTTTGTAGTAGTACTACCTTCATTTATGACACCGTGATGTGGTAAATAGCATATATTATTTAGAGAATCATTCTGAATCTCAATTTTACTCATGTGTCCCAAATCGATATATTCTTGAATAAATGCTGAATATTCTTCTTTGAGGACTGCATTTTTCGCAAACTTCTTCTCTAAAGAGTAAAATCTACTTTTAGCATTTTCTAAAGAATTAACTAACTTGCTGCTATTATCTTTCAGCGGCAAAGTTACACAAAATCTACCAGAACAGTCCCGAGTGACTCTTTCTACAAAGTGTTGCTCGCAATCTGATTCCTCTTTTGAATAATGCGATGCTGTGGCTACTTCCTCGATATGCCAAAATTTCTCCAATTGTTCTTGTACATCTTGAGAGGCTAACAAATGAAACGACTGAGCAGCTGTGCTTGATTTATCATGAACTAAACGTCCTGATATGATCCAACCGAAAACGCTTTTTTGTAACAGCGGTTTCCCCATACCTAACCTAATTTGCCCTACACAGAGTAAGTTAAAAAATAAGTCAGCCCCTATTAAAACATCTATTTTTGCCGACATGTTAAACTCTGGGTCCGCTAATTTTAAATTAGACGGTATATTTATAGCTGACGCCTCAAAAGATTGTACCGGAATATTATATGTGATATTTTTTAGAACCAGAAAAGACAGAGTTGCTGTAAAGTTATTATAACATGATTTGATGATAGATTCTGTTTGACTGTCGATTTTGGTAAGCATTTGATTAACTCCTGAAATAGGTATATCTATTGTATTTGTCTTTAATTTTAGTTTTCTTACCAACTCACTAGAAATAAAATTCATTTGAGAGCCACTGTCTTAACAACGCTCTGCACTTTACATAGTTATCTTTATTATCTTTTACGTAAATAAGCGCAGTAGACAAAATAGTTTGACTAGCCTCTTTTGGATTACTGTAAGAAGTTGCAGCTACGAACTGCTCCTCTGTTGCTTCCACCCCGTCTACACACGCATGTACCGTGTCCGCTTCTTCCGGTTTGTTTTTCTCCCTGACTCTATATCTTTATTCACTAACCGTCCGTTCCCAAAATTTTGATTTATTTGCTTTTCTAGATGTAATAAGCTATTATGCCGACCCCGACACCTTTTACAACCACTTGCCCGACATTCGCTCGCTGTATGACTAGATCGTAAACAATTGAAACAGAGTTTAAGTTTTTTAATTTCCCTGAGTCTCTCCGAAACCGAAAGTGCTAACAATTTTTGACAAAAGTATACAAAGTGTGATCCCTTGCAAAACTCGCACTTTACATTGGATCCTCCTACTGCCGCGTAAGCCCCACGAGAATTTTGACTACCGCTATAACCTTGTTTCCTTTGTATTACTCTCAACAGTTTCTAAAATATGACATTTATTGTTTAAAAAATTAATAAAATTAGATAGTTGTGGAACACCTTTAAAATCTGATATGCTTTTTTGTTCCCATTCCTTTTTTGTTTCTATATCTAATTTCTTGCTCATTAGAAAAATAAGCAATCTATCCCATGTGTCTACCGGTTCTCCTAATGTTTTCAGGGCCCGATGTGCTTTTCAATAGAATCACTTAAATTTCTTAGTAACTGGGAAGATTCCCTACTTACAATCGGCATATCCACCAGGGCTTTAATATGGTTCTTAATAATTACAGGTTTATTTTGAAATCGTTTTTTCAATAAGTCTAAAGCTACTTCGTAGTTGTCATTTGTTATTTCCAGACAATCCAAAATTTTTCTGGCCTCGCCTTCCAGGCAATCCAATAAGTAATAAAATTTTTGTATGTTATCCAAACATGGATTATTGTGAACTAGCGTCTGAAAACCCTCAAAAACTGCAACCACTTCTCAAAATCACCCCTAAATTTAGGTAAACCTAAGCTCGGCAGCTTAGCCCCCGCCCACTATGAACGAGTTGTTATCTATCCCACTACTACCCTGACTATTTTGGATTAATGACGGATTAGTTAAACTCTGATTGTGCTCTGCCTTTAATTGATATTGCGAAATGTGCCCCTTGGCCGTAGCCAACAACGAATAGAATTGTGATTCGAAGCTTTCATACTCAAGTTGCCATCTGCTTCAGAGTCAAGAATTTCTATTTCTATTTGAATTTCTTCAAATCGGTCCAACAATTGGCTCTATTTTTTCGGTACGGACTTGAAGCTCCTTTATTTGGCTCAAATTAAACGTGTCTACGAATTCTGCAAACCGATTTAAGGTTTCTTTTATTCTATTCCGCCTAACGACCAATTTTGCTAGTTCCGAATTTCTATCTTCCGAGCTTTGACTCATCTTAACACGCTTACGTCTCAATATAGAACTATCTAAAAAACTATCTATCTATTAGAAACTCGATGACTAAAATGTTTTATTCTATAAATTAGAACGTCGATGGTTGTGACGTACCATCGAAAGTTGCCGACAAAGGATAATGTTTTTCTATTAACGATACTGCTCGAAAGTTTCTTATTTACAAATTAAAATGTCTACAATCCCCACTAACTGTAGGTACGCACTTAATAATCTTTAATTTCTATTTATTTTTTTTACTGGTCTAAATTTCAAAATATGTCTAATATAATAAATATCTATAACACTAGTCTGCGATTTTTATGAAACCAACTACTTACACAAATGAGAGATACTATAAGGAGAAATAGGACATTAACTATAATGGAACAAAGGACGGAGACTTACCAAGAAAGCAACGCCGGCCATGCAGCTCTAACAACTCTCATATGAAACACTGGCTTTTTCTCCACTATCCGGCTCGAAGGACCATTATGTTTGGTGACGAACTTCACCGGTATTTTCTCTTGTTGACTAATGATACTGAATAAAACTAACTTTCTAAATATGGACTGTATTTACTAATTGAGGAACTTGTACATTCAACATGGACGCTTTTGAATCTAGGGGTCAAGCACTACTTGAATGAGGAAAAAATCACTTGCAGAAGTGTTTACACGGTTCAAGTGACGTTCAAGTTACTTGATTCAAGTAAACTTGAATCAAGTAACTTGACCAATGTAAACCCCGCTTTAGCTCGGCGGCTGGTGTCGATTCGTATCTCGTAGGAATATAGTGCGCGCGTCAACTGTTCCAACGTTGCCACTGTTGCCACGTATTTTTAAATCCGACCAACAGGAAAGGACGAAACGTTATTACTCTTCAAAACAGTATAAAACATGTAGGTGGCGCCCCATACAAGTAGGAGTTAATTTGACATCGAAATCAAATTTCTCATTTAAAAAAAAACAGATACTAATTTTCATCCAAATATCAACATTAATTCAAGAATTATTTGGAAAAAATCGAAATATAAATGAAACTTCAACACCCTGTATCTCCGAAACGAAGCATTTTAGGACATTAGTTTATAGGAATTTTTTTACTTATTTTTATGTGCAGAATATGCTGCCGAAGCTTCCAGAATACAGTTCGGACCACCCTGTATAATAATGATTTGTTTGGTTGGTTCTTTGTCTAGTTATATTTTTTCAGAAATACCGGATCTTCCAAAATATCCTTTCTATGTAGTTTTTCATAAATTTCTAATTAATTCAAACATGCTGATTTTTTGCGATATAGGTATCTTTTTCCCTGTTTTTTAATCAACAAAATTAAGATAATACCCCATTTCTTCCAAGGATATACGGATTGCTACGTTAATTGAATAGTGACTGGTGTATAGAACTATAGTTTGGACAAATAAATAAATAATATATTTTTCAGTGTAGAATTGGGAATGTGCATTCGCAGAAAATGTCTAGTCAGTAACGCTATACATGTCAATTACCATTTGATTTAAGCAGATTATTTTCGTTCGCAGAATCTGCTTTCCTGTATAACTTATTTTTTAATAAAACTATTTTGAATGTCAAAAGTACCTACTTGTTGTACGTAGATAGAGTAGAATATAGTAACTTTTCCTACTTAATATAGAGTAGTTCTTCTCGCGTAACTTTTTCCGATATTTGGTATACCGATCTGGTCATCAAAACTGCGTGGTCTGGATTTTAACGTGTAAGACAATGATGTCGACACCCATACTGCCACGGTACGTACTATGTACTTACCTGGTACGTAATGTTGGGACGAACGTCAGGTCTCTGGTATGAACAAGTACGTACAGGTATGTACTATGTACGTACTAGAGACGTACATTTTCCAACGCTTTGTACGTCCCTGGGATGTGGTAAAGTACGTACTATGTACGTCGCATGTACGTACATTCCAGGTACGTACATTTTATGTTTTGTTCCGGACCAAAACTGCATGTAAAATGATCGTACAATGTACGTACTATGGACGTACATTTTTCAACGACGGACGTATACGACCTAGAAATTTAATTAGAAATAATTCAATGGAAGTCAGCTTAAAATATTTATTAATATAAAAACTCAGGTACAGGGTCATCCCTTATGTCTTGATACAACCGTGAGTCTGGCTTCGGTCCGGCAACTATATCCTTAGCCCACTCTGTCTTTTATTGGATGTTGATAGATATTTCATTTTTTTTTATTCTCGAACTGCTTCTAACTAAAAAATACAAAAAGAAAACTAAGTATTCAAATATATAATTCTTGCCTCTGTTTTGAAAAAATTGAATGAGCCGATTCTCAATCATTCGAGGTTGTGACTGTGCTAGGTAAAATAATCACATTAGATGTGGCAGTGTCATGTAATTCATCTGATGATTCCCCACTTTAAGATAAACAACAACACGTTATTTCGAGGGTTATCTGTTTCAGTTTCCCTAATGTTAAGATGTGGCAGAGAATCTTCAGACTGTAAATCAAGAACTGAAACATCTGATGTGCTATATTGATCATTACAAGATTGAAGATGCCTGATTATGTGAAGCAGGCGTCTATTTTAATTAGGGTATGGAGCCTTTCTCTCTTGAAGAGCTCTTTCAAACCGCTTAATTTGAACATTTGCCCTTTTGTAATATTTGCTAGAAGTATCTTTGCGCCACATTATATATTATTATACTTTAACTTACCTTGAAACAACGAGCAACGAAGGCAACGACAAAGGAAAACAACTCGAAAGCCGAACAACCTACGGCCACCATGACACCCACTCACACAACACAATCGAAAACCGGATCGGAGTAGGTGCGCACTCAGTGTATTGTTGTTTTTATTTTTTAACGTTGGTTAATAAAAGATGGAAATGCACTGAGTTCGCACGTGCGCACTAGCTCTACCAATCGAAAACGCCATTAGAAAACGCCCGACTTCCGATTCCGATAAGACTCGAATGTGAACGAATAACTTAGCGGGAAATTTAAACATAGGACTGCACAATTTTCCTGTTAGGTTTGATTGCATAATATATAATACATTTTTAACCCATCAGATTCCTTCAAAGGCTGTCATGCATTATGGTCATTGGATAATTTAGGAAATCGTTTTTTATAGCGGTCCGGTTAGATTTATTAATAAAAGGAGTAGAGGTAGGTTAGAGTGACTTGAATTAACGTTAGCCTAGAAATGATCCACTGATCCAGTCTTCAGTCCATTCATTATTAT